TCTAAAGTAGGGGACTTTGTCTGAGTAAGATGATGGTCAGCCACGACTATACTATCTCAATTGACTTCTATTAGACTCGTTGATAATGAATCGATAGGATGATTGTGATCTAGTGTATGTATTCTTAAACCACTTCAAAAACATGTGCATTATGTGGTACTACATATAAAGATAAAAGTATAAGAGTGATAAATATATTTTATCAATATTTTTGCTAATATAATTATTATATTATTATATAATTAATTAATTAATTAATTAACATAATTTTAGTAAAAAGGAAATAAATAATTTTGTATCTAATTTATTGTTTAATTCATACATTTTAACTAATTACTTATATTTTGGTGCATGAATGATAAATTAAAGATGAAAAGAAAAAAATGACTGAAAAATTTGCTCAACGAAGAGTAATTTTGCTATGTGAATTACAATAAGGGAGTTAATTTTAGATTTTACTAATTCACCTAATGAGAAATATTTTCACTAAGAAAATGTGATAATCTTGATTAACTAACTTAATTATTAATTTTGCTAAACGAGTAAAGTTGTATATGAGCGAATTTATCACATAACTTATTTTTATAGAATTGCGATTAAAGTTATAATTGATGTACTTGATTAATTATAATTGATGTACTTGATTAATTATAGGTCTTACGCAATTCAACTACGGGCATTGTTGTATATAAAGGCTTAGAAAAACCAAAACACATAAATTATGTTTCACTTTTAGATTTTCTAGATTTAGAGTCAAGTTTTTTTTATTTTTATATCTTACGTTCTTAGTGAAGCTTCTCCTATAACTCTATGCATCTTGTACAAATTATTTCTTGAAGTTTGTTAATTCAAGATGCTTTAGATAAGATTTGTTTCTTTTTTTTATCTCTTCCATTTAATTTTTGTATTCCTCTTCTTCTTTTACTGATTTAGTACAGAATTTTGGTTTTCTTTACTGTTTTTCATTGTTTTGTTATTCTTACATTTATCAATAAGATTGATTTCCTTATTAAAACTTATTTTTCTTGATTTGGATTTGATTCTTCACGATTTTACCGTTTATAATCGATTAAAACTAATATAATTGAGATTATTTAATTGAATACATCAATTTGTATATTAATTCAAATTTTAGGTTTAAGTTATCACTACAAAAAAAAAGTCTATTACCTATGGAATATTACCTACGGATATTACCCACGGATAAAAATCCGTAGGTAAATTTTACATTACCTACGGATATTACCCATGGATGAAAATCCGTAGGTAAATTGTACATTACCTACGGATATTACCTACGGAATTCTATCCGTAGGTAATTATCCATTACCTACGAATATTACCTACGGATATTATCCACGGATGAAAATCCGTAGGTAAATTGTACATTACCTACGGATATTACCTACGGAATTCTATCCGTAAGTAATTATCCATTACCTACGGATATTATCTGTAGGTAATGTAATCCATGGATAATTCCGTAGGTAATTACCTACGTAATTACTATCCGTAGGTAAAGTGTACATTACCTACGGATATTACCTACGGAATTCTATCCGTGAGTAATTATCCATTACCTACGGATATTTTCCGTAGGTAATATCATCCGTGGGTAATTCCGTAGGTAATTACCTACGAAATTACTATCCGTAGATAAATTATATTAAACTAAAAAAATTGTCACTAACAAGAATCGAACCCAGCACCTTAAAATTGAAAACCGATACTTCAACCACTAAACTATTAGGATATTCTAATAATAATTTACAACTAAATTATACTTATATTAATTCGTGTAAATATATAAATATATAAATATATAAATATATAAATATATAAATATATAAATATAAAATATATAAATATATAAATATAAAATATATAAATATATAAATATATAAATATAAAATATAAAATATAAAATATAAAATATAAAATATATAAATATATAAATATATAAATATATAAATATATAAATATATAAATATATAAATATATAAATATATAAATATATAAATATATAAATATATAAATATATAAATATATAAATATACAAATATATAAATATACAAATATATAAATATACAAATATATAAATATACAAATATACAAATATACAAATATACAAATATATAAATACATAAATACATAAATACATAAATACATAAATACATAAATACATAAATACATAAATATATAAATACATAAATATTTAAATATTTAAATATTTAAATATTTAAATATTTAAATATTTAAATACATAAATATATAAATACATAAATATATAAATACATAAATATATAAATACATAAATATATAAATACATAAATATATAAATACATAAATATATAAATACATAAATACATAAATATATAAATACATAAATACATAAATATATAAATAGATAAATATATAAATATATAAATATATAAATATATAAATACATAAATATATAAATACATAAATATATAAATATAAATATAAATATATAAATACAAATATATAAATGTATAAATATATAAATATATAAATATATAAATATATAAATATATAAATATAGTTTATATTTATATATATTTTATATTTATATATATTTTATATTTATATATATTTTTTATATTTATATATATTTTATATTTATATATATTTTATATTTATATATTTTATATTTATATATTTACACGGATATATATAAATATAATTTATTTGTAAATTATTTTCAAAATAACCTAATAGCTTAGTGGTTGGAGTATCAGCCTCCAACTCGAGTGCATCGGGTTCGAATCCTCTTAATGAGAATTCCCTTAATCTAATAATAATTCAAAGTTTCGAAAATATAATATAAAGGGGAGGGGAGTTCTAGGTAATAATAAAAAATAAGGGAGGGGGTTGTAATAAATAAAAATATTTTGTTAAGGTGAGTGAATTACCTACGGATTAATCCGTAGGTAATTACCGCGAGTGCATTACCTACGGATTATAAATCCGTAGGTAATTACCTACGGATTTTTTACGGAAAGAAATCCGTAGGTAAAGTGACATTACTTACGGATTTTTGTCATTACCTACGGATTTTACCCGTAGATAATAAGCGTTTTTTTGGTAGTGTATTATTTGCTTTAGGAATTGAGTTGTGTTTTTAATTCAATTGGACGGTAAATGTTTAGAACTTTTATGGATGAAACTTATTATTACAAGTAGGTTTAAAATCAATGATAATCATAGGAGGAAATTGATGATTAAAAAAATCAATCACTAGTTTCTTAGTTTAACTAGTGCATTTTAAACACTATTTTTAGGGCTTATTTTAGAATTCAATGTTTCTTTACTGTTTTCAACTTTAAATGCCTTCATATAGCTATATTTACTTGCTTTTATTTATTTTTATTGCAACTTTTTTTTTAGTATTTATTTACCTTTTTCCATAATTTTACATGCTTTAGTAAGGTAGATTTATAGCATTTGATTTACTATTCACGTCATTTATTTTTATGGACATATTCAATTGTTTTCTATGGGTTAAGTTTATTGCTTGTATATAGGTTTACTATTTTCAATTTACTATTTTTACACCAAAACAAATAAAATCTCCATTTTTTTCTAACTTTTAACATTGGAAAAATCAAAGTTTACAACATAATTATCAATATTCTTTAAGGATATAATCTATATTAACACTAGTACTATATTAATTCTTGTTATGTTTGTTTGATCACACATCTAGGCTATAATATGTGCATGATCAAAGAATATTTAATCATTGAGTTAGTTTATGATCGAGTACATGTTGGTAAGATGGTATGTTTAGTTCTAATGTTGATTTATGATTAAGTATGTAATTATAAGTGACATTTATGTGCGTTTAATTCTACCTGAGTAAGTAAATTTATAACTGGTGTTAATAATATGATATTTGTGTGTATTTAATTTTATCACATTTCTTATATATATTTATTAGTTATATTTTTCACTCTTGTTGTATTATTTGATTTGAAAATGCATAATAAAATTTATTTTTCTTTTTTATCTTTATTGGATGAGATGTTATTACTAGGTATAGAATAAAAATATTTATTTTGAGAATTCTTTTGAAGTTTTATCATTAAGAATTCTTTACAAATTCTTATTTCATTATTTTTATAAGTTTTATATAAGTCATATATTTAAAAAATATTTTAAAGTAAAAGAGTGTGATAGATTACACACATTTTTATGACATTACTAGTTGTGCGAATAAAATATTGTTTAATTTGTCAATAATACATTAATATATTTATCATTTAATTAATAAATAAATAATAATTTGTTTTAGTTATTTAATTAAAAAATGCTAATAAATTTATTTTTTAATAAAATAAAAATAATATATTACTTAGTAATAATATTGATAATTAAGTGCTATTTTTAATATATTATTAAATAATCCATTATTATTTTAATTAAATTTTTTTATCATAGTACTTCTTTAATTGAAAAATATTATTGTACTAGTTATGTAATTAAAAATAATAATTTACTAGTTATTTATTAAATAAATGTTAATCCATTAATTATTTATTTAATAAATATTAATATTTTATAATTAATAAATGTTAATCTATTAATTATTTAAGCAATACATATTAATGAATTTATTATTAATGAATAAATGTTAATTATTCAATGAACAGATATTAATATTAAAATCATCGATATTTTTTATGTATTTAATTTTATTAGAAAAAAATAAACCATTTTGCCTGTGATTAAAGGTAACGAATAGTTTTGATTATATACCAACTTGCATGAGTAGTATGAAATAATCTATTAATTATTGAATCAATACATATTAATTAATTTCTTATTAATGAATAAATATTATCAATAAATATTAATTGGCAGAATCAGAAGATTTATTATTATTTATGGTATGAGTGCTGGCATGTATCTTTAAGTAGTGTTGCTAATGCATTGTATGAGAGCATAAGAAAAGAGAGAGAGAAGAAGACATTTGAAGAATGGGTTCTAAGATGAGTGGGCAAAGCATTTTGGTGGGAATACTGTGCATTGCTTTGGTGTTGGTTTCAGGTAAGAAAAAGATATGGTTAATATGAATGAGTGTATATATATATATATGATGATAATGAAATTAAGAATGCAATGAGATATGAAGGTTTTGTGTTGCAGGAGAAGCATCGATAAGAAGGGATGAAATTAATTTGGTTTACTGCGCACAGCCAGGTGAAGGGCAGTGTAAAGATATCACTCTCTGCACCCAATTTTGCCTCAGTCGCAACCTACACGGCGGTGGGATCTGTAGATTTGACCAATGTTGTTGCAAAGGATAGATCTTTCTTCTCTTATTCGTAATAATCAAATTATGTACTCAATTCAATAATCTAATGCAATTCACTATATTTTCTACCATCTCTTCCATTAATATATTACATATTTATTTTACCTAAACACAAACCATAATACCACTATCAATTTTTAATATTTATTTATACTTAATTTTTCATCATCATTATTCATCAATAATTTTGACGAGACTAAATCACGTATTATTAATAAATAATAAAAAAATAAAAAAATAAGAAAGTAAAATTATAAATAGATATATTTAATAATTATTAAATTTAGATATCAAAATAAATCATGTAATCCCTTAATAAAAACTCCTCAAATGACTATACATGTGTTTCTGGTGAAAATTAGGTTTATTTCGATTTCCTAAAAATTTAAGTTCTAACCAAATTTTAACCACGTAAATTTTTTTTATTTGGGCTAGCAAATAGTTTTCAATAAAAAAACATGTATGTAAATCGAAAATGCCACAATATCGAACCAATTGGAAAATAAAGCATGCATATTAGAAACGCGGAAAACGCAACATAGCATACATACTTGAAATCAAAAGTTTTCTTTTTGTATTTTTATTTAAGAAACTCGAGAATATGAAGATTAATAACGAAGTAAAGTAAACGAGTAAAAGGACATCGAGGCAACAAAGTAATACATCAAATTAAATTGCACTAAGAGTAAATGACATAAATTAAAGTACGCAAAAAAGTAATCGACGTTGCAGGAAAATAAATTAAACGTGCGAGTAGATAAATTATTGAGAAAGTAAAGAAAATATTAAAATTGCATAAATGTAAACGACAATGAATTGAAATAACAAGAAAGTAAAGACACATGAAATTAGATTGCATTAAAGATAAAATATCAGGAAAAGTATAGAAAACGGTAACAAAACTCAATGAAAATGGAAATCTAGATCGCGAGAAACTTCGTGATTCGTTATTTTCCGGTAGACTTTTTACTTGTGTTTCTGTTGTCTCTGCCAATTTCTCTTTCCTCTTCACGCTTCATTCTATTTATAGGCTCATTTCAACGTAACCTCCTAAGAGCGGTTTAGAAACCGCTACCACGTTCCCATGCATGAGACAACTGCTCTTTTGATCTTCGATTTTTAGCCACGGTTTAGAAAACTGTTTCTCACGTTCCACGTGCGCGTTTAACTGTCCCTCGATTTACACCTTAGCCACGATTTAGAAAACCGCTTCCCATGTTCCATGTGCGCGTTAACCGTTCTTCGATTTCCAACTTAGCCACGATTTAGAAAACCGCTTCCCATGTTCCATGTGCACGTTAACCGTTCTTCGATTTCCAACTTAGCCACGATTTAGAAAACTGCTTCCCATGTTCCATGTGCCCTTTAATCGTTCCCTTGATCTCGACCTCAACCATCGAGTATTTTAAACTGCTTTTGACTTCCCACTTAGCCTCTCACTCAATACCTATAATCGATTTTTTTTTACCTCTTCAATCATGTTCATCGAATTCTTTTTTTCGATTGTCGATTCAGATTCTCGATTTTTCCCACCAACAACATGATATATACTATATTGTTAATTATTTTAATATTTAAAAAATAAAGTGTATAATAAAATGTTAAATATGTCAAAATGTGTTTTTCGGATAACTATTATGTCATCAATAATATCATATATTGTCTCATGTTTTTCTTACTCACATTTCATGTTAAAGAAATATGTTTGAAAATTTATCAAATATAGATTATATAGATTTTACTGCAAACCAAAATTTTCTAACATCCCAAATGTGATTATATATATATATATATATATATATATATATATATATATATATATATATATATATATATATATATATAACTAAGCAAGTTACCTACCCACTAGTGTCTCCATCTCTAACCAAAGCCAACCAAACTATTCATCTTTCTTTCCGTCCTCACTCCCTTGATCAGCAACTACAAATGAACACCAGCCTGCATAACCTTTTTCTGTCCTGTAGAAATGGATTGTGAGTTGAAACTTTACTTGCACACGAATAATATTTGCTCTTTAATAACTTAGATAGACTAATCGTCTTTTATCCTGCACCTTCCCATTAATCCATAGAAGAGTCTTGATTAGAGTGAGAACTGCGCATTGGTATCACATATTCGATCATGAAGAAAGAAATTATTAAACTGGCCATGCCAAAAAAGAAGCAAGGAACCTCATCCCAAGGCAACTGTTCCAAGAATCATAACCTCATGGACCACTTGTAATGCATGGTGAGGAAAAGGTGGAGAAGTACTCGAAGGAGAAAAGGAGGTGGAGAAAGGAGGTGGAGCGATAGGAGAAGCTTTGCAACTTCAACATCGAGCGAGAGAAAATAGGGATTTCTCCCAACACTCGAAGACTGAAAGTCATGCTTTTGATAGTGTGTGTTGAAACTTGAGGTAAGAGATCTAGTGTGGCGGCAGTTATGGCTTGTTGCTGGAATGAGCAGTACTAGAAGGAGCAAGAGGACCCACAGTATAAGAAGAAGCCACCGTCGCCATTGCAGAAAGTTAAATTCCCTTCGCTCTCTTGTTTCTTTGGAAAAAGAATAAGAATGTTAAGAGAAAAGAATGTGAATCGGCTTAGCGTCGTCATTGCATTTTCACGTCCCACCTGATAAGGGCGAAAGTAAAAATCGATTTTTACTTCAGATAAAAGATCACCCGATAAAAAAAAACGACTTTTTACATCGGACTTAAGAGATTTGAAGTAAAAATTGTGTTCAATATTTACAAAAATGTCAATGTATTTATTTGAAGTCTAATATTTTTAGGTTCCACAAAAGATAAGTGACCTAAAAAAAACCCTTTTACACTCGTGTTAACACATATATAATTATAAACTCATTTAGTTAACTCAATAAATTAAAACTAAATACACATAAATGTCACTTTATCCGCACATATTTAATCATAAACCTACTTAATTAACTCAATCAGTAGAACTAAACATATACAAACGTAACAATCTTATACTATAATATTATCATATTTTTAGTCGATGTGTGATCTCATTACAATCTCTCGTTACAAGAAAATTTTATTCACCATTATCCCTATCTCGAGAGAAATTTTTTATCATATCTTCTTATTTTAAGAATAATTTTTTTATTATACTCCCTCACCTCGAGAATATTTTTTATTACACCCCTCATCTTGAAGGGGATTTTCATGTACAATATTCATAGAGTTCACTTTGATACTATATTAGAAATGGTGAGAGTAACTAACTCCAGTACAAAATCAAATCATTAAAGTGTGTACATTTTTATTTATTTTTTATAATTAATCATAATTAATTCATCCACGATTTGAATTTTGTTTATAATATTTGCAAGACCTTCCTCAAGTGGGTGCTTGAAGATTTTGGATGTCAACTCACTAAGGAAGAAAATTATGTATGCCTTAAAGCTTTGGTAAATATTTATGTAAGTTATGCATGAGTGGAGACATATTCATTGCAACAAAAATGTCAATTTACTTTAATATATTTGGTACGTTAATGAAATATAAGATTCTTAACTATGTGTAAAACAACTAGACTATCACAATATAAACACACAGGTGTTGAATGAGAAATACCAAGAAAATGGTTTTTACCCACTTTAGTTAACTTGTGGTAGTAGCCATTGAATAATATTATGCTTCAGAGAAACAAGATATTGTATGTTGTTTTTGTCTTCCAATAAATAGGAGAATTTCTCAAGAAAATATCCCAATATGTAAGAGACCTACGAGTGATTTTCTTTTAGATATCGAATAACACGAAGAGTGACTTCCCAATGTTTTATGTGTGATTGTAAATTGTGAAAAAATATACATACAATATGTCAATTCAAGGCAATTTAAACACAAATAAATCAACAAACTAACCAAACATCTATATTGATTAGGATTAAAAAGAAATTCGCTTTTGACAATACCAAGATGATGATTTTGTTCCATTAATGTTGTGGTGTTCAAATAAATTCAAAATATTATCGAGTTCTAGGTCTAATACCTAAGCCATTTTGGGACCGCCTCAAGGTTGAAGGATTGTGTGGTATCAATCATGAGACATCGACCTTTTTTTTAATTGATATCAAATAATTAAAGTTAAACTCTCGATAAAGATCATGAAATCCCAAAAATTTCACATATAAATAGAATAATTACCACGATTCTTACGCTACTAGAATAAAGTCATTTTATGTACATAATGACAAGATATCAAGGTCCAAGTCTCTTAAGATTAAACCCGATTTGTAATAGCTTAATAAAAGGTAAATTTAGGATAATGATACATTTTTACTCACTCGGGTCTAGTCATGATTCTTACCATTTTTGGCAAGAAGTAATGTCCAATTATTGGCCTCATTTTTCCTCTTAATCCTAATGATTGACCTTCTAAGGAGAGTCATTGACATTTGACATTTTTTTACAAGAGTTTAAGCATCAACATCTTTGCCTTAATGCTGAGGAGTTGAGTAATGTCCAAATATGATCAGATTATTACTGAGTTCTAGGTCCAATCTAAACCTTTTCAATTCTGCCTCAAGACTGAAGGGTTGTTTGGCACCAATCCCAAAGTCTATTAGGATTAAACCAAACTCGTAATAGTTTAATAAAAGGTAAATTTAAGTCAAAGACGAGTTTTTAATCACGCGGGTCTAGTCAAAATTCCTACAAGTTTTTACAATAACAAATGTATACATAAACTTTATTCCAAGTAGTTTAGTGTCACTAATAATGTCTATAACATACTTTTTTTTTACATAAGAAAATACCAACAGCTGATTTAGCCACTTCTACCTTTAAGAAATATTTCAATTTTTTTCAAATCTTTCATTTGAAAACATTGGCTTAACTAATCTTTGAACCATTGGATAACTTCATGATTGTTTTCACATATGATTAAATAAGGGTTAAGTATGTTTTTAGTCCCTGTACTTTCATGTGAAATTGGAAATAGTCCCTCTATCAAAGTTCACATAAAAATGATCCCTATACTTTTGAAATGATTGGAATAAGTTCATATTTTAAACGACGTTAAATATATGATGACTTGTCTAACAGAAATAATATGACTCATTCATTAGTTGACACGTGTAATTATTTAAAAAAAAGTAAAACTCTTCTTTAAAAAATATAGAAATTATTCAACAGAGATTATTATTTAAAAAAAAAACAAAAAAACAAAAAAAAAAGTAGAAGTTTTTCTTTTCTCCTCACGCATCAAAGTTTTTCAGTTCTCGTCACAACCACTTTTCATTCTCTCTTCTTTTCTCGTCACAGACTACTTTTCGTTCTCTCTTCTTTCTCGTCACACATCAAAGGTCTTTTCTTTCTTTACCTTTCTCTGTAAAGGTTGTATGAAGTCAAAGTGACTTTGAAGTTCGAGGGTTCCATTGGTTTGACTAGCAGTGCGATGGTAGTGCACAACGGCAATGTGCGACGGTGATATACTATAACTAGGGTTTTCATTTTCGAAAATTAAGGTAGAGAAGTTTAAATGACTTATAAAATGGTAGAGAAGTTTAAATTTCTTTTTTAATGACTTATAAATGTGGATTTAAATGACTTTTAAAAATTTGACACCTTTTAATTTTATTTTTTTAAATAATTATACGTATCAAATAATGAATGAGTTATACCATTTCTGTTAAACACGTTAGCATATACTTAACGCCGTTTAAAATAGGGACTTATTTCAATCATTTCAAAAGTATATGAATCATTTTTATGTGAACTATGACAGAGGGACTATTTTCAATTTCACATTAAAGTATAGAGACTAAAACATACTTAACCCATTAAATAATCAACATAAATTAAGACATTAAGTTACATTGAACCATTTTGTAGAGTAAATAAGGAATAATGAGAAAGAAATTGTTTAAATCCATATTATTTCAAGGTATCAGCCAATTTAATAAACCAACATCTAGGAGTTTGTTTCAAATCGTATAAGAACTTTTAAAGACGACATACTTGATTTGAAATATAAGAATGAAAGCTTGAGGACAACTTGATGTACACTTCTTCTTTAATATCACCATGCAAGAAAGTGTTGTAAACAATCATTTGGTAAAGTTCCTAATTGGTTGCTACAACAACTACTAATAAATTCGAACAGTAATCATCATTGTTATTTGAAAAAATGTTTCTGTATAATCTTATGGTTTCTATGAACTCTAAAATATTCTATAATTTCATATGAATTATACTTAATCTTATATACTTATTTTCATTCAAATATCATCTTGTCTTTTGATAAATGACACATTATATAAATTTTATTATCTTTGAGTATTTATATTTCTTGTCTCATAGCTCACATGTTTTATTTTCTCTAAATAGTTTGTTGGTTCCCCTATGTAAAATAATATATATATATATATATATATATATATATATATATATATATATATATATATATTTAACTGTTGAAAAGTTCAAAGTTAATTCTTTTGTTCTAACAACTCAGAAAAGTTGACTTTTGTACATTATAATTGAAAAGTCTACTGGTATGTTAAAATATTACGAATTCATTCTCATAACAATCTTCAATGCTCTTCCATGTTTATAAAAAAGAAATGCTCCCATGCAAAAAGTACGAAGAGAAAAGTGAAACTAAATTTATGCATTTGAAAATTATTATATTATTTCATAGTTGTTATAGGAATTGCTTTTATTGAAAATCTTTCATCTCTCATCAAGCATTCACATATATCTTTCTTTTCATTGAAATAGATCCAATTAAGTACATAGGACATATAAGTATTTGTCTCACTAATTGAATTTCGGAAGTAGTGACATTTTTAATATGTCAATTACTACATGTATGAAGTATTTTTTTTATTATAACACTTTTTCTATCTCAATTAAATTGATAAAATTTTACTCATTATTGATAAGTTTATCACATTTTTTTTACATGTTTTGCACCATAATAGTTCAGGTTGTAAAAGAATTTTTAGTTGATTAAGTATATATTAGAAAAAATTTAAAATTATATAACTAATATAATTTGATTGATTCATTTTAAATTTAAATTATATTCTCTTCATAAAAATACTTAACTAAATAACAAATAAATTTATACTTCAAATTTAAGAATAATGAAGCTTCGAAACATAAGTTCATAATTAATAAACATGTTGTATTCAGTAACAAAAAAAATATTCAACGAGATAAAGTCACAACAAGACTTAGTCACTGGTTTTGATCAAAATCGACCGGCTTAAGCCAGGTTGAACTAGTTCGATTGTCCATTTACACACTCTCTATGTTTCTGGTGATTGAATTACAATAACAAACAATTTACATCTTATTTATTTATTTATTTATTTTAAAACATAAAAGAGTTAAATAAATCAAGACTACATTAAAAAGAAAAGTAACGAAAAGTATTTAAGGGAGTGAAAAACAATGAATTTGAAAGAAATTTGAGCTGTGAGATTGTTTGAATTAAAAAAAAAAAAATTTAGAGAAAAATTTGTGGATAATTTGATTGATGTACATATATAAAAAAATTATCTCTTTGACGAGAATGGATTATCCTGTTCTTGAGAATCGATTTTCAGGGGAGAATAATTCTTATGCAAGTTTATAAGAGGTGAAATGTTTTTCTCACTTTATTTCCTTTCTCCGCCGGAATTCCTCCATCTCCACCCTGTTCACTAGAAACAAACAAAGAAAAGCTCCTCGTTGGAAAAAAAAAAAAGAAAAGAAAAATACACAAGTAAAAGTTTACCCTTCAAGAACCATTTACCTCAACATGAAAACCAGAGTAAAATATCAAAACCAGAATACGCTATCTGAAATAAAAACTTTATTATTTCTTTTTTATTTGCTGAAAATCAAAACTTCATCTTGCACGGTATCCCCATTTTCCCAAAATTCATTCACAGAATATAAAAATCGGATTTCGATGTTCGACAAAAAGCGAAAGGTTAGTTAAACAAATACAAATACAAATAATGTCCCTAAAGTCCACACGAAGTGGTTAAGCTAACCTTCATTATCTCTTCTTAAAATCCTTACATCACCCTCCTCTGACTCAATCCATTCCACTCCCAAGCTCTTACCAAATCATCCACATTCATGTCCGGAGAGCCACACCCCTTGGAGATCCACCTCAGGGTCAACCCCAAGAGAACCAGCACCAACATGGTTCACCCTGTGGCCGTGGAAACTGTGTCCCCGGTTCAGTACCAGAGAGAGGAAGTGAAGCATTACCGCAAGTGGTGCCCTTGGTTGACACCTCTCATCGTTGTTGCTAACATAGTTATGTTTGTGATCACTATGTATGTCAACAACTGCCCCCATAACTCTGTCTCCTGCATTGCCTCCTTCTTGGGTCGCTTCTCCTTCCAACCCTTCAAGGAAAATCCCCTATTGGGTCCTTCATCCTTGACGTAAGGCAGTTTTTTTATTATTGCTTTTATTCTTTTGATTCATAGAAATTGAACTCAGCTTAAAGTTTTTTACAACAATTCACACACTTTTCAATCAACTGATTTAGAGCCTTTATTGTTGATGCAAGCTTGTTCTTTTGTCTGGTTTTCTCTAGCCCACTTAGCCAGAGAATATTTTGGCCTCCTGATTTTGTGACTGTCGTAGGTTGAAGACCCTGTTTAAGTTTATTTTTGGTAAATAATTGTTTTTTTTTTTCTTAAAAAATGATTTAAAAAAAAAAAGTGTTATTCAGTAATGGATAATTGTATCAACGTTTTAAATAGTGATCTTTGATATTGCAAAAAATTGTGAATAAATAGAGATCGGAATTTTTATGATCCCTTGATATTAGGAAAAGTTGTGGACAAAATTGGCTGCAATCGCGGTTCAATGGAGAGACCTTGATGTTGTGGTTCTAATTGCGGTTGGGGGGAGTGGGGACTATGCTCTAAGACATTTAATTGCACTTTTGTTATTATATTTGAAGATTTCAGTACTTTCCTTTTTCTGATTTTGCTTTTAGTTTACTTTCTTTTCATGTGTTATATACAGTTATAGTTTTAAAATTTTAATTTACGGTTATTGTTGTAGTTTCACAGTGATTATTAAGACCAAGAAATCGAGAAATGCTACTCTCTAATACTCTCGTTTTCAATAAGGTTCATGATAAAAATATAGTGTTCGAAAGAGAATGTTAGAAAATAAAATTGTAAAATTAAAATAAAATGAAAGAGGGAGAAAGGAGATGAAGGATAAATAGGAAAAGTGAGTGTGGAGTTAACTCTGTATGATAGATAGTGAGGAAGTTAAAAAGAAAATGGAATGGAAATAAACATGCTAGTTTCTTATAAAAATCATGGATAAAAGTATGTAATAAAAAACGGAAACCAATATAGAATATCACATCATAATTATAAATTGTAGATGATGACGTGTTGTTGGCAGAAGTAGATCCCATAAGTAATATATTGAGTTTGAAAAGAAAGATTTTACTTAATATAACTAATATTAATGTTACTGTGATCTTGATGGCAAGACAAAATGTTTATTTTGGCAAGGATTGGCCACATAGATCACAGGAGTCATTGGACTTGGTTAAAGACCAAATTGCTTGGGGTATTGAGTGTTTGTGATTTTACAATATATAAATTTATTATCACATAATGGTGGTGGTGATGATGATGATATTGTTGTGTTATTGAAATAGTACTGGCATTTATTTTTGAGTGGTTTTCATTATCTAATGGGAAATTTGGATTATGAATTTGACTGTTACTGGGATTGAAGAAGTGGGATTTTTTAATTGTTCAGTTTACAGAAGATGGGGGCACTTGATGTGGGCAGAGTGGTTCACAGACACCAGGGGTGGCGCCTCATCACTTGTATGTGGCTGCATGCGGGGGTTTTCCATCTGTTGGCAAATATGTTGGGCATTCTTGTCATTGGAATTCGGCTTGAGCAAGAATTTGGGTTTGGTAAGTATGTGTGATGATGTGACATATTCAAGATTAAGGCTAGTTTCTTTTTTATGTGGCTTGTAATTATCAGCTTCAATAGGACTCTAGTCTGTCATAGGGTCAAATATATTTTTGGTCTTGCAAATCACCAGGCTTTGGTTTTAGACTTGGTCTCTTTAAAACTTGAGTGTTGACTTGTGTCTCTTAGCTTTTAAAAAAGAGAACTTTTGGTCTTTGCTCTGATCATAGATCCATTTAGTGCAACTAATGGCAAGAACTCAAGAAGCAAAGGCGACTTCTTTTTAAAAATAAGGGACACTGGCCAAAACAAAACTGAGTTTTGAGGAACTAGAGCCAAATTTTCAATAGGTGGGCAAACATATGTTACATCTTGCTGTAAATTACATATGCCAGTGCAGAAGTAGAGGCTTTTGGATTTTTGCTAAGAGTTCTTCTGTAATACTGTATTGCTCAAACTTTTTTACTCTATGATTTCAAGTTGAAAAGTAGTTACATAAAATTAACTGGACTCTAATGGGCTATTACTAGTAATGAATAGTTTGTCTAAGGTTAAAACAGGTAACCTCTAGAGTACAGACTTCAACAACTTCTAAATTAACATTGAAAAATCTTATTTGAGGAAGAATGTCTGCTTATTGTCTGGTAAATAGATACAATGAAGCTAAAGATTATCCCTTTTAGACTTTAGTTTCTCTGCTAAGATTTATGATTTTCTTGTGTCATGTTATTCTGTGCCTGATCTAGCTCTAAATTCTTTACTGATTCATACATACTTGGACAACAGTGCTTATTGGACTGCTATTTGTCATATCTGGATTTGGGGGGAGTTTACTTTCTGCTCTTTTCATCCAGTCAAACATTTCTGTCGGTGCTTCTGGTGCACTATTCGGCTTGCTGGGAGGCATGCTTTCAGAACTCATTACTAACTGGACTATATATGATAACAAGGTGCTTATTAAATTTCCCATTTGGATCTCTAAATGTTTCAAAAGGAAAGAGAATCTTAAAAAGCAACTTACTGACCGTCAACTTTTCTTTTCATGTGAAGATAGCAGCACTCTTCACCCTTGTGATCATCATTGTTATCAATCTAGCAGTGGGAATTCTTCCACATGTGGACAATTTTGCTCATATTGGAGGCTTTCTTACTGGATTTTTTCTCGGATTTGTGTTTTTGATTCGTCCCCAGTTTGGATGGGTTAACCAACGATATGCTCCCCTAAATTATTCTCCAGGACGATCTAAGCCTAAATTCAAAAAGTATCAGTGCATCTTATGGGTCTTCTCCCTGATAATTCTAGTAGTTGGGTAAGCATTTTTTGAAGTGTCACTTTTTTCGAGATCAAGTTGCTATTGTTAATGTATGATGTAAGGATAGACTTAAACATAATTCACCCTGTTGACATATAACATGAATTTCATGGACTTTCCTGAAGTAGTTGGGGTAGATGCACTCTTGGTTTACCTCAAGTAGTAAGAGGTTTTGGATTCAGCTTCTAGTATACTAAAAGAAAAAAACGTATACCATGAGAAACAAGTTACATGCTTTAGGCAGAATCTGAAAAGATATCAAACCCATCAAAGTCTGCTGTTACATTAAAACTTAGTTTCATGATTCTAATTACTTAGAATCCCAAAAGATATCAGCATTCCCCTAATGACCTTTTCAGGATTGCACTGGGTAAGAATCCCAAATTCTACTAAGCATAGGTGATAGATAAGATAACATGTCTCCAAGTATGATGATAGATGTCTTACAGAATGATGATTAAAAGGAAGCTTTGGCCTTGCTCTGCAAGTTACAAGCAGATGATACCGTGTACACTGAATATGTTGTGGGTGGAACTCTACACACTGGAGTGGATGCATGCTTTTAGTTGTTCATTGCTATAGAAACTTGATTGCTTTGAAACTCAAGTAATTTAAATACGTGAAGAATTCTCAATTATAAACTGAAGTTGTAGAAGAAATGACAGTTCTGAGTATTGTAGTAAGTAAACCAGGAAAACAAATGCTCTTGTGGTGCTGTAGTTATCTCCATATGCATGTTTTTAATCACGCTACAGCAAATCTAGCTACTGCAATTGTTTCTCACTACCGAGAGGATCTAAAAACCTAGTTCAAGTTGGATTCAGACCAATGTAATAACTAGGATTTCTTGAAATATTTAGTTTGTTGTTTCTTCACCAAGCATAGCAACCAACCCAAGATTGACGCAGAAATGGATCCATCCTTCATTATTGTAAATATGCTTAAACATATAAAATTCTCTTTTGTGCATGATTGTAAAGCCACTTCATCTTATTTGTGTTGTGTTTTTCCTTTTATTCATATTTCACATCAACCACTTGTTCTGTCCATATTAACTTTTCTTATATGACAGGCTTTCTGTTGGGCTTGTTGCACTTCTCCGTGGTGTTGATGCAAATGACCACTGCTCCTGGTGTCATTATCTGTCTTGTGTTCCAACTTCAAAATGGAGCTGCCATACAGAACCAGCATATTGTGTGGTAAGCATTTTACCCGAAAGACTGTTTACATGAATAATATTATCAGATCCTGTGAAATTATATATTTTTCACTGGCAATCTTATGATTGGGTTATTCATCTTCTTTAACCCCTTTTTCCTATATTGATAAAATCATATTGGTGTTACCATCAGATTAAAAATGTTTAGTTCTTCTCACAAACAAGGCATATGTTTATTTTTAGTGGTAAACAAAAATTGTCTTTTTTAGTTTCTCATTTATGAAAATGTGTTAGCTGTGGTCCTTGGTCATCACAGAAAATTGTTTCCTTTTGGTCCCTTGTTTGCTTATGGAAATAGAGACCACATTTGACACTTTTCTATAAACTAGAGAACAAATAGATGATTTATTTTTTAGGAATTAAAAATGAAAGTAACCTATTTGTAGGATTAAAAACATTTTCTCATTAATGTTAACAGTTTAAAAATGACCTTTTTGTTACTGTTGGTTCCCAATGCCTGATATTAATGTTGTCCAAATGCCACAAATGCAGTCAAATGAGCTTGGTAACCAGCTGAACATAACATGCTCAAGCAATGGTAAATCCAGTACATACTTCATGCAAGATCCAAGCAGTTCCCAGATCCAGCAACTGTGTACTCAACTTTGTAGTTGAGCTTTTACCAAAGTGATGATCATTGGAATGAGATGTTCACCTGTTCATAGTAGTGGTTCTGGCTCACACGAAAAACTGCAGTGACCTTTCATTTATACCTTTTGCCTCATTCAGGAGACACGATTAGAAAAGATACATTTTGCCTTTGTAGATTTGTTCATTTTCTAGTGTATATAATATTGATTGATTTGCATTGTTTTGGTACCTTTGTGTGAGATGAAAGTTACACTCATATATGATTAATGTATCTCCCTAACTTGTGTTTGCTAAATAACTTCTCTTTATGCGTGAATGAGTCAAACCAACAATTACAAATGTGATTTTACTTGAAAGTGTCATAAATCGTGACAGAAAACAAACAAAATTACATATTAAACCAAGTCAAATATAAAGTTTAACTTTAACAATACAAAATAACATGCATGATTATGTTCTAATTAGTTTAACACCCTAGTCAACATGAATCATTAACAATATTTCTTAGAAAAATAAATGCAAGATGGGACCAAACTAAAATCATAAAAAAAAAAAAAGCCTAAAAAGGATAAATGATAATGGTCTAGAAAAAAATATAAATTAAGAAAAAGAAGCTATTACATTTCACTAACAATTCAACTGACATATAATGATATTTGCCACAAGTAAATCTACACACCTATTATCTCTTTTATACAATATGTGATGTTGTAAATGCTTTGATAACATTAGTACTATTACTCTCAATCCACAAATGAAAACACATTTTGGTGAGCAAATTCAATTGCATTCATAATAACAATAAACTCTGACCAAAGTCTCATTTGAGCACTTTTAACAACAACAAAAATCCAATCCAAGATGTCAAAGGCATTAGTAATATCTATTTTAATTGTAAGTTTATCATTACGGAGGACATCAATGTTTCATCTAAAATTGAATATATTCTAGTCTTATGTCTGTTATGATAACATTATTAAGGTCAATTTTATGTTATGATGAATAGTAATATATGAAAGGACCACTGATGAATTCAAGAGGACTCATACTTAAGAGGAAGATTGTTGGGTAATATAAGTGTGAGAACAGTTTAAGAGTAGTCCATGTCCCATTATGAAGATTAACGATACATGAAAAAACCACTAATGAGTTTGAGGAATCCCCATTTAAAGGAAAGATTGTTGGATAATACAAGTGTGAGTTTAAGTCTTACATTAAGAATAAACGAGAATGTTGAACAACATATAAGGACAAGAGTGTCCTAGTCTCATGTTTGTGATGATAATATCGTTAGTGTCCATTACTATGTTTGAGATACTATTCATTTTGAAATTCTAACCCATTATAATTTTGTCCTTAAAAAATATATCAGTGGATTAAGAAAGAATGATATATATAAACTATCATTAACCTTGATTTTTAAATATATTAGAATATAGTCTAAATATACCATAATATAGCTCCTAATTAACTGAGGGATAGAAGTAGAACAAAATTCTATTTTCGATTCTATAATGGACTTGAATGTTCTGTAAAAGAGAAATTATACTTTAAAATTCTAATGCTCATGATTTTACCTTAAAAGACAGATTAAAAAAATAATTGTATACAAATCATTCTTTTAACTTCCGTTCTCATGTGATAAAACAATTGGCTGTTTATATTTTCATAATCAAAACAATAATTTATCCTTATAAATTATATCATTGGATAATCATCTTTAATATATATTTGGTGTACTGGTCACTTGCGTCGATAAAGCATAATCATTATCTTAAAGATATTATCCAATTTAGATTTAAAAAAATAGACCTAATTCTGTGAAATAAAATCATTAATATTGATTAGATTGATTGAAATTTTATAAAAAAAGATCTGTTCAATAAAAAAATTAGTTTGATTTAAAAAATTAGATACTATTGTATACAAACATATCAAATTCTATTTTTTATTTTGTCTAAAAATTTGAACATAGTTATATTATTAAAAGAGATGAATATTTTTTTATGGCATAGTTGACTTACATAAATTAAAAAATAATAAAGAATATATTATTTGTTTGATGCAGGGTTATTGAATTTGTTACTCATAATAAATCTGATATTGAACTAATTATTTATTGAATATAATTAGTTTAATATTATATAGAAATTAATTTATTTAAATTCATCATGTTAATAAAATTGATCTAAACTAATAAACACTCTTATTTAAAATTATAATTTAATAATAAAACAAGTCCACAAAACTAATATAATTATAAATATGCCATATCATAATTTTTTTTTCAACTATTAAATTCTCAATGTTAGGCAATATATCCTAAAAAAAATAAAAAATTCTATTGTCCGAAAACAACTTATCTTTTCCATTCCCTTGAAACGGTACCGTGGTAGTAGTAAGTAAACTCAAGCTTGCTTGAATCTGCACCACTCAGCCAGAGGACAAAACAATACCACCCTCAGCACTCAACCCATGGTTCTCTGAAACTTTCTATCATGATGGCCGTTCGAGCAGTTGCCACCTGCTCCATCTTCCGCCCTCCCTCTCCGCCGCTCTTCTCCTCCGCCCTCCGCCTCTTATCCTCTCGCTCCCGCTCCCTCCGTCTTGCAGCCCAAATCCAGGCCCGTTCCATCCACTCCCTCTTCGACTGCATCATGGAAGAGCTCCGTGCTACCCGCAAACGCCGCCACAAGCGTGTCTCCACCGCCGCTTCCAAGTACCCTGCTACTCTCTCCCTAAGCAATGCTTACTCCCATATCTTCTATTTCAAATCGTGTAAACAACCGTGTGTGTGTCTTCATCTCCACAAACACTTTTTTACAGAATAAAATAAAAAAGAAAAACAAAATTAGTTTATCTGTCAGCTATTTTATGCATAAACAAATCAGTAGAAACTTTTCGATATCAACCTCTCTAAAATTTTACTCCATGGAGAAGCTTCTTTCGCTTTTCCTAAAAGTGTTTTATACTATTGTGCAGTTGATATATATATATATATATATATATAGTTTCTGGGTTTAGGCATTAAGCAGTTGAGATAGTGATATTGAATACGATTATACGACTAAATGTTAAAATTAGTTAAATATGATTTCTGATCAGTGTAACTATATATGCAAGATGTAAGGTGAATATCAGAATGTGAATTTCTACCTAACTCAACCAGACTATAATTTGGGTTATATCTCTTGTTGTCTCCCAAGTATATGCACTAATGCACGGTGACAGTTATACTCTGCAAAATATAGGTTTGTTCTCTATATCTTTATAGCAGTTGTATAGGTATAACAGTCGGCGTGTAGTGCAATTGTCTCTTTAGTTAGGTTTGTTACGTATTTGTTATAGCTCTATATATTTGACTGTTCAGTAACCCTTGGGTTGAAACTAACTCTTTGGTAGGTTTGTTACAGGTTAGTTAGAATTACAAATACTTGTTTGAACTCAGTTACATTTAGGTTGAATTCATTTTGGTGAGAGAGCGAGATGAGTTTGGATGGGGAGTTTAGATCCAGAGGGAGTGTTCTGCTGAGTAACTGCAAAGCAACGTTGAAAAAAGAAGAACATTTGGTGCGGAACGTGCACCAAATTACTGAGGATCACATAAATCTAATGGTCAAGGTTGTTGAAACTGGACCCGTCACTTAATTGATGCAACTGGGGTTGAACCGGGTTCAATAATATATATTTTTATATTTTTTTAACAATATAATAATATACTAAGTACAAAATAGGTCTATTAGTAATTACAAGTCTACAAGAAAAGAAAACGAATACAATTGAGTGATAATCGTCTTCGTTGGAAGTTGTAGTAAAGGTCATATAAGCAAAATTTAGTGGAGAGTTAAAGACTGAAAGTTGTGAGTGAGATAAAGATGTAAAGTAAACAACTATTGTCTAGCACCACTAACGTGACTTGCATGAGGCAAAAGATGCAAAAATAATTAAAAATGTTTTACCCTTTAAAAATTTAAAATACTTTGATTTTTAAAAGAAGTTTCAAAAAACCAGTTGTAACAATTGAAATCCTGGTTTTACCAGTTTTTATCTGGTTTTTCCAGTTTTTATCAAATTCGATGTTCTACTGGTTTTCTAAAAGTGATGGTCCGGCTCTCAGTTGGATGAGTTGTCTTGGTTGGACGGGACAAACCGTTACCATTTTCATAAGCATGCGAACAGTGCTAAAAAATTGATCCATGGTAGACCACCCAAGTCCCCTTGTCCACCTTAGCATTCACCTAGAATTAATGAGACAAATTTTAATGTTAATAAGTTATTTGTTTTGAGACTCTAACTACTAAGAAATTCTGTAAAATAAAATGACTATTTTCTATGTTAATATACAGATCAAGTAGGTTTATTATCTTACACAATTCCTTGGTTACTCATAGTTATGGTCTTTATATATCTAGTACCTTCCTGTTTAAATGATGCACTGCTTTCGATTGAACCCAAGACAACATTTTGATATCTTATGAAATTACTTTATTCATTAGTTTAAAAATACAGGGACATATTATTTTTCTATTAAGTAAATTTCATTTATTTTGTTATGCATTAATTTTAGTGATGAACTTATTTTGAACTTTTGATCTTATTATTACCAACTTACTTTCTCCACTTTGAATGTGGAGTTTATAGTATCATGATATAAATGTAACAAGTTTTGTATGACAATGGAAGTTGGTTGAAATAAATTACGTCATAGAATCTTTATAATACGAAGGCACTAATGTTTTAGAAGAAATGGTGTTCGTTTTCCCAAGTACAGTTTTTTTTTTTTTTGTATATTTTCAAATCCTAAGAAGAAGTACTTTTTTCCCTCTTTAATTATGCTTTGTGGTTTAAAGATATACAAACAAAAGCCTGCCTTAATTTTCAGAAAAACATCTGTCAAAAAACTTTTGTGGAGGAAAAAGTAGTTATATCCAAATTTTGAAAATTGTTAATGAGATCTATTCTCTGCAATTGCCTTCCCTAGAGTTTACATTTGTTACAACTGCCTTGAAAAGGATGGATTGTAAATTTTTGTATAAATCTTGATCTGGCATTTCCTAGCTTTTTCATTGCTTCAGTTATTAATTATTTTTATCGATTTAGCAGCATGGGATTGTTGAATGAAGAGCTTGTTGAAGATAGACTTGTGAACCGTTCATTGCAAAAAGGGTTACTTTTGGAATTCAAGAAGGATTCCGATAGAGTATTGCTAGCAGTAGCTCAGAGACCTGATGGCAAGAAGAACTGGATGGTTTCTGATCAGGTTCTAGTAGAAACAACATAATGCGGCATGTTTAATAGGTTGCTAGGTGTTGGATCTTCTTGCAACTTTATAAATGCTAAGTATTGCTGGGTTTTGTGTAGTCTAACTTTTTGTTGGTTTCATTGGGCTGAAGAATGGTGTCACTTCTTCCATCAAACTGCAACAAGTGACATATATTGTTCCTGGTATTGATAATTTTGACCAAGCGGATATTGCAGATTTTGCACTTAAGGCTCACGATAACATGGTCAGTTCCAGTGTTCCACAAAGGGGATGGTAACAGATAAGCCAAATTTATAACTTTTTATATATGTCAATAACTAAATTCTTGATGGTATGCGACAGGACCCATCCCTACTTGAATATGCTTGGGTTGAGCTCCTCGAAAAGAATAAGTCTGTCACAGTTGAAGAGTTCGCTGAGGTAATATGACTTGACTAGATGTCAAAGCTTGTTTTCTTTGTCCTTACATGAGTTACTTGTTCTGCAGATAATTTTTGGCAGCACTGAACCCCTTGAGAGCTATTCTGCTCATCTCTTGCTATCAAAAGATGAAGTATACTTTACTGTATTGGAGACTAAAGGATCTCGATCCATTTACGGACCTCGATCAAGTGGGCAGGTAGACGTATTAGTTTCACACTTACGGTAGTTTTGAAAATTATGAATTTTTTATTTAGCTCCTCTTAGGATCGTTTTCCAACATACATATCTGCCCCCAGGAGAGTCTTGTGTTACTTTAGGTGTTTTGTGTTTACTTGTTATAAATTACTTGTAAACTTGGATCAGAGAGTTGTAGTTTAAAGCCAGGAACACTAGGTAATTACTATGATGAATCAACTATCTAATAAAACACCAATTGATAAAGTAATATAATATAATATAGAACAATTTAATCACACTGCGATATACTCACTGGACAAGGGACAAGAGGCTTGTGTCACATACAATACAACAGTCCAGTTGTTGTCCCAAAGACAAAAGTTTCTTACAGAGAGTGTTCTTTATTCTCAAAGTTCAAATAACTTCACCCTCCCCTATTACACAGCCTTCTATTAGATATAAATGGCCCAGTTCTTGCGTTGTGACGAGCTAGGATTGAATCAGATGCTGGACCTGAACCAAAAGAGGCCCATCACATGGAGAGTACTCTCTAGAAAGAAGAAAGTGAGTTCAGGAGAGAGAGAGAGAATTAATGTTAGCTGGCTTTCAGTTAGTGCATGTTTGGACAGGGAGGGAAATTCTGTTAGAAGAGATGTGTTAATATGATGCAATGCTAATAGGTTGGCTTGGGAAGACGAGGGGTATTGATATTCAATGTCATTTTGAAATCAAAGTATCTAGGATTTCTGTAAAAATTGTAATATAGAGTACTAGATTGATTCACAAGGACATATAAATTGCATTCAATCTTTAATTTGCTTTGTTTTAGTTTCAATTCTATTTCATTTCAATTAATGCATTTTAATTCTACATTTTAAATCATAATCTCCAAATTAATTTTTAAATGAAGCAAATTAAAAATTAAATACAATTGATATTTGTCCTTGTGAATCAACTAAGTTGTACTCTATATTATAAATTTTATAGAAAACCTAGATATTTTGATTTTAGAACGACATTAAATATCAAATTGTCGTCATTGCCAGATTGTGTCCAATTCTCAATTTGTCTTGGTTATTACTTTTTTAGGGTTTATCATTTGATAAGTCTTGGTCTTGGTTGTTTTGATCTTCATATACGTTGTTTGACCTCTTTTGATGTTTATATGTATTGAGTAAGCAATTATTTTTCTACAACATACTAAAAAAAAAAATTTGGTGTGAACAAAATTTCCAAAAAAATCTAGTGCTAAAAAATCTAACTTGATAGAATTACCCAAAATTTTGCCAATCCATAAAAATAAGGAGATCATGACCCACTATCTGAGAGACAAGGATCATGGATTGAGCCTCAAATTCCCAAATTCTATTGTTTAGACCACGATTCCAATTTTTAAAGTTTTGACTTTCTAAAAATCACAAAAAATTTATAGGAAAACAGAAATCACATTTAGATGTTTATTTTGGTGTTGTTGGAATGTTTTTTTTAAATTGTTTTGATGTGCTTCATAAAGCATGTGGAAACTATTATGAATGCAAAAAAAAAACTACTAATGTGTATACAAAATGTGTATTACTAGGGGTTGATTTTGTTTATTAAGTTAGTCAGGAGAGTCTCTCTTTGGATAGGAGCATTAAGCTTTGGTTGTCTTTTCACTTGTTGTAAGACCTTTTCTTTCATTGAATTATATGATTATATCTGAATCTTTTCTGGGATTTCTAATAAATTGCTACTGTTAAGCTCAAAAGAACGATTAATAGTGACTTTTATTAATGATAGAAATTATAAACAATGACTCAGTATGATTCTAGAACTAAGTTTGTTTGGATTCTGTTTGTTAGAATTCTGTTTTGGTGCATTGGCAGCACTGCACACGGTGCTAGTATGTTTGCATCATCATGCTGCTATTCTTGGAGGCCGCACTGACCTCGAATCAATCATTAACCTTTTATAACACACTCCCCGATCACACAGATTTCTATCAGATATAAACTCCTAATACATAACTACCTGCAGTTTCTTATATAAAACTAAGTACAACCAGTTAAATCTGTATACATAATCATTGGGGTGTTTGTTTCACATTATCTTTTTTTCATTCCTGGGAACATGAAGATGGGATTTGTTAGGAGGTTAATTGCCTGGCTTGAAGTTGGGTTGAGGCTTGAATATGGGCAGTTTCTGCTTAATGTTTGGTTTTGCAGACCTCCTTAACAGCTAGCATTGGGTACTTATCAGTACAGCAATGTGTCATAAGGTGTTGGCCCTTATTGCACCATGTCAGTACAGCAATGTGTGATTTAGATTGAAGTGTTAAACATAGAATGCGAAGTCCACATTGGCTCGGTTTTAGTGTGAGCAAGTTGCTTTTCATATTATAAAATGGACAGATGCTGACGTATGGCTTAAGTTTTAGAAAACGGATTATATCTGGTGAACAGCCAGTTTTCCTGTAAGACTCCAGTTTTATTGATTCAAGGGAAGTTTAGTTATTAAACGGTTTTTAGGCTATTTTTGGACTGGGTGCTTGACCAGCTGAACTAATAAGTCCAGATCTACTTTAATTACTATATTTCTTGTAGATTTTCTATTAGATATATACTCTTACTTGAGAAAACTTATTTAGGGTTTGATATTGTGCCTTACTGATACATTGTATTTATAGGAGAAGGGATACAATAGAGAGGATATGGGCCTCAACCCAAAAGTTTAAGGAACATTGAAAAATAATACTAAAAGATACATAAACAACACTCCCCCTCAAGCTAGAGCATACAAATTGTATGTACCAAGCTTGGAACAAATGAATTGAATCCTAGATCTTCTTAAGGATTTAGTTAAAATATTTGTCAGTTGCTCATTGGAGCTTACAAATTCAGTTACAAGTTCCTTAGACAACAACTTCTCTCTAACAAAATGACAATCAATCTCAATATGTTTTGTTCTTTTGTGAAAGACTGGGTTGGAGACCATATGGAGAGCTGCCTGATTATCACACAATAACTTCATTTGCCTAATATCACAAAATTTTAAATCTTGAAGGAGTTGTTTGATCCACACAAGTTCACATGTAGCAGGTGTCATAGATCTATACTCAGTTTCTGCACTAGATTGAACAACAACACTTTGCTTTTTACTCTTCCAAGAAATCAAATTTCCTCCAATAAAGATACAATACCCAGTAGTCGATCTTCTATCAATTGGACAATCAGCCCAATCTGAATCACAATAACTAAGAATTTGAGTATTACCTTTATCTTCATATAACAACCCTTATCCTGGGGCCCTTTTAATATATCTCAGAATGCGAATCAAGGCATCCTAGTAATCAACACAAGGATTTTGCATGAATTGGCTAACTACTCCAACTGTATAAGAAATATCCGGTTTGGTGGTAATAGTAAGATAAATGAGTTTACCAATCAACCTCTTATATCTTTCTAGATCTGACAACTTTTCTCCTTCATTCTTCATCAATTTCTGGTTAGGGTCCATTGGGATATCAATGGGCTTACAATCTGTTAGACCAGTCTCCTTCAGAATATCAAGAACATACTTCTTTTCAGAGATGATTACACCTTCCTTTGACTGGGCCACTTCAATGCCAAGAAAATATTTCAATTGACAAAGATCTTTGGTTTGGAAGTGAGCAAACAGATGATTCATCAGTTGGCTGATCTTAGTATAATCATGCCTGTAATAACAATTTCATCAACATAAACCATAAGATACACACACCTTCCTGAAGAGGAATGACAATAAAACACTGAGTGGTCTGTTTCACTCCTTTTCATGCCAAACAACTGCACAACATGACTGAATTTTTCAAACCAAGCTCAGGATGACTGCTTCAAGCCATAAAGAGATCGGTGTAACTTGCACACTAAACTATACGCCCCCTGAGCAACAAAACCAGGAAGTTGTTCCATATAAATCTCTTCCTCAAGGTCACCATGAAGAAAAACATTTTTAATGTCCAGTTAGTGAAGGGGCCAATGACAAATCAAAGTCATAGCAAGGAAAAGACGAATAGTGGAAATCTTAGCTACTGGAGAGAATGTATTACAGTAATCAAGACCATAAATATGAGTGTAGCTTTTAGCTACTAAACGAGCTTTAAGACGATCCACTTTACCATTATTATCAACTTTAACTGCATAGATCCACCTACAACCCACAGTCTTTTTACCAAGAGGAAGAGGAACAAGCTCCCAAGTGTCATTGTGCTCAAGTGCCTGCATTTCATCAATCAAGGCTTGTCGCCATCCAGGGTGATTAAGTGCCTCATAAACATTATTAGGAATAGACATATCAGCCAAAGAGACAACAAAAGAAGAATATGAAAGAGACAGACGATGGTAACTTAAAAAATTATAAATAGGAAAGGGATTGCGAGTGGAACAAGTACCTTTTCTAAGTGTAATAGGTAAGCCAGAATCAAAAGTAGGAGGTAAGGTTGAAGGATCCATGGTATGAGAAATTGATGGAGACGGATCTGAATCACAATTATCTGTAAGAATTGGTAAAGGTGTAAGAGGTGAATCATTATGACCTGTAGACTAAATTGGGAAAGAAACAAGTATAGGCAGAACTTGTTGAATTGATGAACCATCTTCCAAGGGGAAGAAAAGAAGGGTGTTTCCTCAAAGAAGGTGACATCAACAGACATATAATACTTTTGGAAGATGGAGAATAAATTTATACCTTTCTGAAGGCGAGAGTACTCCACGAAAACACATTTAATGGCCTTAACACTTAGTTTATCAAGATCTGGAGATACATTGTGAACAAAACAAGTACAACCAAATACACGAGGAGATACATGGGAAAGAGAATCATCTGGGAAGATAAGAGAATGTGGAATTTGATTTTTAAGAGAGGAAGATGACATCCGATTAATTAAAAAACAAGCAGTGAGAACTGCATCTCCCCAATGATGAACAGGGACATTAGCATTCAACATTAGAAAGTGTGTAGTCTCAATAAAGTGTCTATTTTTTCTTTCTGCAACGTCATTTGCTGTGGGGTGTAAGGACAAGTTGATTGATGTAAAATTCTTTGGAAAGATAAAAGAGAAGAAAAGGAAACAGAGAAATATTCTTTGGCATATCACTTTTGAGAACTTTAATTATCTTTCCAAATTGATTTTTAATTTCATTGAAAAAGGACACAAAAATGGACAAAAGTTCATATCTGTCTTTCATCAAATAAAACCATGTACATCTAGAAAATTCATCAATAAAGGTTACAAAATACCGAAAGCCAAAAGAGGAAACACGACTTGGTCTCCAAACATCATAATAAATATTTGAAAAAGGAAAATTACATCGAGTTTCAGACTGTTTAGGAAAAGTAGACCTAACATGTTTTCCTAATTGACAAGATTCATACTCTAAAACCTGAAGATGTTGAAGATTAAGAGTCATCACTTTCAACTTAGATAGACTTGGGTGACCCAAACGATCATGCAAAAGTTTAGGGGCAGGAGAAACCATACAAGATACCGAAGGACTTGGTTTTAGATAGTGCAAACCACATGATTCATGTCCTTCTCCAATCAGACGACTTGTACCATGTTCCTAAATAACAAAAAAAATTGGAAGTAAAGGTTACAGAACAATTCAAAGAACGAGTAAGTTGACTTAGAGAGATCAAGTTATAAGGGCAATTAGGAATGAAAAGAACAAAATTTAAATTTAGAGATGGGGTTAAAGGAACTTGGCCAACACCTTGAGATTTCACTTTGGATCCATTAACTATAGTGATTAATTGAAGAATTTTAGGATAGGACATGAAGGAAAACAATGAACTATTACCAGATAAATGATCAGAGGCATTTAAATCAAGAATCCATGGGTTCTAACCTTCCATAGATTGAGAAATGCATGTAGTTAAAACAGGCATTGAAGAGGATTGACCCTGACTGTTAAACTTTCCAGATTTGAACTTCAAAAACTCTTAATACTCATTAGAAATCTTCATATCTAGCTTCTCCGATTTAGATGCATGGGCAATCTTATCAGGAAAGTCATACAAGGAATAACAATTTTCCTGCATGTGTCCTATCCTATTACAATAGGTGCATTGAGGACCAATTTTCGAACTACCATGTCCACCTCGATTGTTGCGTCCTCCCCCTTGACCACGAGGGGCAACCATAGTAGAAGTTTCAACAGTCTCCACCTGATTCTCATCAACCATGAGATTAGGAACTCGAATCAACCTAGTAATAAGATTATCCATTGATGGAACATGATCGCCAGCTAGGATTTGATCACGCATGTGATCAAAGTCAGAATGCAGACTTCTCAAAATTAGAATCATATATAGCTTATCGAGTTTGGTGTTTACCTCCTCTAAGGTATTTGTAACAAGAAACTTTTTTAATTCTTCCACAGCAGCCCTAATTTTTGCGATGTGAGCCATCATGTCGTGATTGGTCTGCTTAAGTGACGTTATTCTTTGAGTTGCATCAAAGAGATGTTGAATATCCTTAGCAAAAATGTCTTGAACCTTTTTCCAAGAAGAAGAACAGGTTTTGAATGACCTGAGAAACTCAAGAACATCTGGTTCCAAGACTGTCATAAGATTGCACAAAGTTAGAAGTCTATTTTCTCCCACTGAGACCTTTGTGCAGCGGAAATAGAGTCTACATCCTTCTCCAAATGGTCGTTGTCGCCGCTGTCAAAAGAGGCGGTCGGAGCGACGCGATGGTTTCCGACTTCGACTCTCGTTTTTCAAGTGGTGTTACAACGTCTTTAGGTTGTCCGATAACCGGGATGGACCTAAGGGCGAAGTTTTCGAAAAGGGTTCTTATGGAGTCGCCACTAATATTTTTGCCGAAAACATCGGAAAAGGAAAAAAAAGGAAGACATTGGTTTATAAAAAAAACCAACTTTGGCCATTATAACCAGAGTCGGGTAAGGGAGTTAGTTATGTGCAGGGAAGGTATTAGCACCCCCACGATGCCCCTTTTCGGGTTCCCTATGATGGGCCGTTTATTTCATAAGTAAACCTTAAAATAACGCTTTTACCTTTTATTTATTTGCGGAATTTAAAATATTGACTACATGGCCCTAGCAGCTAATGCACTGATAAATGTAAAGAAAGCGGTAAAGGAAGGAGAGAAAGTATGAAAACCTTCGAAGCAAACTTTCGTAATTAATATCCTTGAAGTAGGATGCTTTTTGGCAATCCTTCACTCTACAATGTTGATCGCTCTTCCCGCAACGTTACAAAATACTTTCTAAGAATACTTAGAAACTCCGGAAATGCTTCAGAGGGATCTAGGAGAAGATTTTAAGAAATTACAGAAGGAAAAGTTGGAGAATCTTGTGAAAAGGAGGGGGTCGTGCCCTCCTTTTATAGGGATTCGCGCCTGTCAGGTCGAGACCGCCGTCTCGCCTGTCAAGGTCGAGACCGCTGTCTTGCCAAACGGGATGGCGGTCTCACCTTTGACAAATGGCGAGACGGTCGTCTCGCCAATCGAGAAGGCGGTCTCGCTTTAGCAAATGGCGAGAAGGCCGTCTCGCCAAACGGGAAGGCGGTCTCGCCGTTGGCAAGTGGCGAGACGGCCGTCTCGCCAAACGAGACGGCGGTCCCGCCCTTTGCTGATGGCGAGACGGCCGTCTCGACCTTCTAGGTGGACCTCCCTATTTTTTCTGTACAAAAAATCTTCCTACTCTAATATGGGGCCTTTTGGTTTATCCTAGGGACCTTTTAGGCCTTGTCCATCTTCGAATTGGAGGTCTTCTGTTCTTTATTTTGAGACCGGGCAAGATTTGGGTTCTACAATCGTGATGCCCTTGATCGAGAAACCACAGCTCAATTGAAGCAGACCAAGATAAGTAATTTTTCCAGTTGAGCTTGACACTAGTTATGATGGGAGTAGCAAAGAAGGTGAAGGCAGAGGATGAGACCATCTAAACCAGAAAAGATGAATAAAGCCAACGAATAGGGTTACCCATGAAACTTTTCATACACAGTTCTCAAACCAGAAAACTAAGGGCACCATTGGACTCGGAGGATGCCGATGAGTCGAATGGAGGTGGTTAGCCTTGATTCCGGCCACAGAAAGGCGGTTGGAGCTTACAAAGGCGACCGGAAATTAGTACGGGATCTTACCCGTTTTGATACCAACTTGATAAAACTTATTTAGGGTTTGATACAGTGACTAAAGACATTGATACATTATATTTATCGAAAAAGGGGTGCAATAGAGAGGATATGGACCTCAGCCTAAACCCTTAATGTTAGTCTAAGGAATATTGAAAAAGAATACTAAAAGATACATAAACAACATATCTCAACACTCCTATGTCCTGATTCATAACTGTCTTAAGTTAATTTCTATGCCTGATTGTCATCATACAGTTTCTAAAGTACATTTGCTATTACAAAACTAGTTATTTTCTATCACATTCTTTTAATAATTAACTATCTCCTAACTTCGAACTTAGTTCACACAACAGAGCCATAAAAGTGTGATGATAACTTTTAATTGTGTGAGGTTGTGTTGATTCTTTTGGTTTGCTTTAGTAGGTTTTTTTGAGAAATGGAAATAAAAGTCAAACTTTTTTTTGAATGGGCAGGTTGAGGAGCTTATTCGCAGGAAGCTTGCAAAGGAGGCTGCTGAGAAAGAACTTCAAGAGTTTATTGAATTCCTGGCCTCTGTGAAGTCCATGTCTTCACAAGATAAACCTCCAAAATCTTCATGGACCAATGATGAGAAAATTTGGAGAAGAATTGAGTCACTTGTAGCATATGCCATTGATGCATGTAAAAATGATGAACAAAGGAAAACAGCTGGGATGGTAACTTTTCCCTCAAACATTGTTTTGATTTAATGTATCAGTGTAGCAATTACGGTTTGTTTGGATGAGCTTCTTCATAAACATTTCTAGAGAAGAAAAATAAGAAGAAAAAAATGAAATGGGCTTCTCCATAAGCTAAAATTAATTTACCCACAAGTTAAAAATAAAATTTTAGTGAAGCCATTTGAGAAAGCTTCTACAAATTATCTTATGCATTGACTAATTTTAGCTTATGTAGAACTTAATTTTTCCTTATTTCCTTTCTTGTAAGTGCTTATGGAGAAATTTGTCCAAGCAAATCCTTAGTGTTTTTCTTCATGTGTGCAAATAACATGAAGAGACAAGAAAACAGGGAAGTCGAGAATCTTGCATGAGATTCTTGAACTTATTTCAATTAGACGCCATGTATAATTTTTTGTATATTTATGGATTAGATCAAATACAACTCTAGTACGAAGCCTAAGCCTATCCCGTGGCAATTACTAAAGTAACACTTCTTGGTAATGAGAAAGGATGATCTCGGTGCATTCAGATGTCTCCTTGATTGGTAGTTTAGTATAAAATTGTTAAGGTTCCAACATAAAACCAATTGGCCATATGTGGACTAACCTAACATGTATTTAAATCATACCAAATGATATGAGGGAGGCGATGTGAGACTTTCAACACACCCCCTCGAACGAAGCCTGCCGGACCAGGCAAAGGGTACTTTTGACCCAACTAAAGGGCAACTTTTGGCCCATGACAATAACCGGAAAGATGTTAGGCTTTGGCTCTGATACCATGTTAAGGTTCCAACATAAAACCAATTGGCCATATGTGGACTAACCTAACATGTATTTAAACCATACCAAATGATATGAGGTAGGCGATGTGGGACTTTCAACAAAAATCATTGACTAATAATGCGTCTCTTGAATGTTGTTTATTGTTCGTGCCACCTCAGTTGACTTTCTTGTGCTTTTAATGAATTCATCCTGTGTTACTAGCAGATACTGAAGGAATTGGGTCTGGCAAAAACAGCTTCCTCAGCTGTTAAACTTCTGATAGATATTGGATATTTTCCTGTGCATATCAATCTTGATCTGCTGAGGTTGGGAATTCCCACTGATCACTCAGAAGAAATCATATCTGCTGCTAAGACTATTTTACTGGACACATCTGATCCAGACGAGGTGGGTTTCATTTGCTTGACAACATTGCTCAGATATGAGATCAATTATATATGATATAAAGGCAGGGTTCTTCCTAATGATATTTAAGTTACATGGAATTAAAATGAATAAATTCTTGACATTATTATTGTTGTTGCTATTAATGTTATTGTTATTATTATCATTTCCCATCTTTTGAAACTAAATATTTAGGTATAGAGTTAATGCATACTGAGATTTTAGATCATTGTCGAGACTTTATATGCTGTATAGGAAAAAATCTACATTGCACATGGGCAAGACAAAGTCATGAATAGAGTATTTAAGTACAGGACAACACTCACTTCACAAGTTAGTTATGTGAGGTAGAATTAGATATAAACTCGAATTCTAAGATGATGTCATATATTAAGATATAGTGTAACAAGAAAAATTGTTTCAATGAATACTTTTGTTCCTTAACTGTTTATTTTTAACATGCTACGTAAAATTTATAATTTTCAGTTGCATGTTATTGACACCTTTTTTTTCAATTTCTTATACAAGGTTGAGAATGTATATTATTTGTTTGGAGAATGGACTTAGAAGTATGAATTCCAGTCATTTATATGTGAGAATTTGGAAGAGAATGAAAACTGATTCTTATTAAACTGAAAAGTGAATCAATCTACGAGTTGCAACATAGTAGTTGATAGTGGATATCAGAGAAGATCGGTTCTCCTCCCAAAACTGCTATAGGGGTAGCAGGATGTCCATTATTTTGATCCGATGTGTGTGTGTCTCTCTTTTTATCTATATATATGCGCTGATAGTAAAGAAAAATATGTAAAAATTAAATCATATTATGATTAAACTTAATAACCAAGTTGTCCAAAACCAAAGCAGTAAAATAGTGAAGCACCATTTCCTAAAACAGCAAAGGAAATCAAACTGATTTTAAGCCTGCTCGAAATCCTATATTGATTAGAGATATGATTAACTTATAATCTATAATTGAGGTGCAAACCTCACCTTACAAATTAGTTTTATAGGGTTGAGTTAGGCTTCTCTCTATTGCTAATATGGTATTAGCACATATCCTTGTGAGATTTGTTGGCCCATCATTCTACCCATTATCAAGCTATTATCGGATGACTCATAATATTCAGTTTCACGCTCTCAAGATGTTCATTCCTTAGTATGATGATGTTCATTCCTTAGTATGAGAGGACATCGACCAAAGATATGATCAGCTTATAATATATTATTGAGGTGCAAACCTTATCTTACAAATCGGTTTTATAGAGTTAAGTTAAACATTACATTTCTAATAAAGCCTATAACAAAAGGGCAAAACATCATCATACTCGGCTGCAATGTCAAGCATTGCATCCTCATCTGCATCACTTTCACTATTGAAGATTTGTTCTTCCTTGTCTTCACTTCTATTCATTACTTCTTCCTCACGGTCTTCTTGCACTAGAGGTTGATTTCTTTTCCAATAGTAGGTCAAGAATTAGAAGTTGCAGCTGCAGCTTCATGTTTTGCTCTTAAATGTTGCCTAGTGTATGTAATAATATGATACCCAGACCCAGTTGCAGCTGCCACAGCTTCCCAAGTTAACTCATCAAAGACTAATTCTTCTTCTTGGATAGCTTCTTCATTCTCATTGGCCCTTTCTCCTAACAACCATTCTTTACTATCATCAAGCTCATTCAAGTCAATGGAATCCATCACATCTTCACTATCAAAACACTCCTTAAGTGATTGGTTATATTTTATATTGGTGTTGTTAAATAACTGTTATGGCAACATGGCATGGCGGTTTTGGCAGCCATCGCCATATACTAATTTTTACATAAATTATGCTTTCTGCCATTTCTACTGTGGCACCCATGGTGGAATTTTTTTTATTTATTTTTTTTTTCAAAAAACAATTTTGGGCTGTAATTTGGCCCATTTTAAAACAACCCAAAAGCCAAAATGTCCCCTAAATCTCAGCTCAACCCTGAAACTGCTTTCAACACTAAACTTGAGAGAACCCTACTGCAGCCTTCTTCTGGAAATTTATTTTGTTAACTGTGCATGTATAGGCTGGACGATTTTGAATGGTTGCTCGAGGAATGATGTCAATTTAGTGTCTATTCACCGAATAGGTGGCAACCCAGTAGGAATTTCCTCGAACAAATCTTTACATTCCTGCAACAAAAAAACAAAAAACACTTGGGTGAGAAGGATCAAGAAAGTTAGTGTTGAGCATAGGCTGTTGGTTGAGATAAGCAACTCTCAGTTCACTTTCTTTTGCATAAAAAATATATTTTCTTTTAAGTTTCTCTTTCTTTTCACTTTTTTCTATTTATTTTTTAATTGGATTTGATCTTCATACACAAAGTGCTGCAAGAGTATGTGCCAACTATTCATCACAAATGAATATTTGTTGGTGTACACTCGTCTTTGGTTGACCTCCTATCAAACTCTTATGGTCTTTCCAAAAGTGTATGTCCAGCAGGTACAGGAACAACATCACAGTATTTCATCATTGTATGTACGAATTGAGAAAGAAATCAGAACTTGGTTTTTAACCTAATCTCCCCACAATCCGTTAACCATTGCTGATTGTAAGGTTTAGGGTGTTTAATGGTACACAAATTCAACTTCTCAGTGTATTACTCGCAACGTTTGCATAACTCTCTCCATTTATAATCATGCAAGATACCTTATTATTTGTAATGCAATGGATATGGTGAGGGCATAAGGGTTTTTTTTTTTTTTTTTAATGCAAATAGCCTAGGAAGACCATGGTGACGATGGACTTTCATCATCACCATGCTAGTTAGAACTAGAATGTTGCATACCAAATGTTCTTTCCCTTCATCTTTTGCTTCCTAAACAATAATATCCCCTTTATGATCGTGAAGATTCCTATTACTTAAGGCTGAAAAGCATGATAAAGGAGCTTATGAGACGAAATATCTCTTAGTTGAACCATTTATTTCTAGGAGAAAGTACACTGATTACAAAGTGTCTAGAGACTAAAGACTAGACCTAGGTGCCAGTAACTAATTAGAAAAACAGTTTTTAGTGTACATAGGTTAACCTTCTTAACAAGTTATCTTAATAAAATATTATATTTTAACATTTTTCCTCAAACTTGAACATACAAATTGTATGTACATAGTTGTGAACATATAAATTGAATTCGAGATCCTTTCAAAGATTTATTTATAATATCTATAAGTTGATAATTGGAGATAAAAAATGTTTGTTTAGTAACTTTTGTCGAATAAAATAATAGTCAATTTCTATGTATTTAGTTCTTTCATGAAATATAGGATTGGAAGATATTAGAAATGGAGAGATATCTAATTCAATTATATAAAATTGGCTTGTAAGGTGAGGTTTGTATCTTACCTATATATTATAATATTATCATATTTTTAATTGATGTGAGATTTTAATACATTTCCTCACATCTAACTATTAACAAATAATATCCAATATCACTAGAGTTGACTTTGATACTATATTATAAATGAAGAGGTACCTAACTCAACCCACTTATATTTTTCTTTTAGCCTTTTTCTGATTGTGTTTTCTATTAGGCTCTCCCAAGATTCTTTTAAGATATTGTTAAAAATTTTAAGATGAATATCTGAAGACTGCTTCATGCAATAAAACAAGGGCATAATAGTAATTTGAGTCAATTAATAATTGTTGTCAAACATGGTAATTCTAAATATCTAGATTTCTTATTCCCCAATGTTTTACTCCCTTTCATGATGTTTATGTACCTAACTACTGTTGAACGATGGATTAACCAAATTCTTCTGCTAAATACTTGAACCGCACAGCCACCTGGTTGTTTAATTTCTGTTGAGGCTGGACTCAAACTTTTCTTACATCTTGTTCTACTTAACTGCTGTAATTATTCTAATCATTATTTATCACATTAATATTTGGTTTTTATAATCATTGTTGTTTATGTTGTTCAGATTGACAGGAAGAATCTTACTGATTTGAAGGTCTATGCCATTGATGTTGATGAGGCTGATGAGGTGAACAATCAACCGATTTTGTTATTGATTTGGTTGAGATTATTTCATGTATTACTCCATTTAACTTTGGAAGCTTAATAGTTTATTAACCGATGATCCATAATATTTAGCTTGATGATGCTTTGAGTGCAACAAAGTTGCAAGATGGCCGGATTAAAGTTTGGATACATGTTGCTGATCCAACTAGATATGTACAACCTGGAAGTATAGTGGACAGGTATCGGGCTGAGATTCAAGAGATATTTAATTGAATTTTATATGTTGTGTGTTCCTCTGTAATGTACACGTACTTCATGACATGCAGAGAGGCTATGAGAAGAGGAACTTCTGTTTTCTTGCCCACTGCTACATATTCTATGTTTCCTGAAAATCTTGCCATGGGGGGCATGAGTTTGAGACAAGGAGAGCCTTGTAATGCAGTTACTGTATCAGCCGTGCTGCATAATGATGGCAGGTAAATTTAAATGTGCTGGTAGCATTGTGTGGTATAAATTCACCCGTTTTACTAGGAGTATACATTACACTGTAAGAAGTGAGATAACCTGTTAGGACCTGTCCTGAAGTGCGAAATGAGACTAGGAGTTGTTGGAGGAATCAATAGAACTCCATATTTCGTAAGTTAGAGGAACAAGGGTGTTTTTGAAGCATATAAGGTTAGTGGAGGTTTGATCATAAATGACTTGCAAAACCTTTATTTTATTTTTTTCCTTTTGGTTACATTTATGTGAATGTGCTGTTATGGTCGTTGTGAAATTGAATTTGTTCCTCAGCAATCCTATTTTGTAAAGCTATGTTGAACTTTTGTACTAGCCTAGTAGGTACAATATACATGTACTTTGTTCATATTTGGAGCCTAAAGTCTACTGTATTAGACTCTGTTGTTATCATAGCTAGCTTGTGAGGGTAAGTTCCTATGTGCTTGGGTACTTACAATTGGTGAGAGTTGGTTGTTGGTGTCTCAAAAAGGGCTACCTAGAAAGGGTTCTGACCAACAGGAAGTTGAGTGAAGTATCACCAAGTGAAGTGTCAGAGTAAGTTGTCAATTAGTTATTTTGCTTGTAACAAAATCACATTTTATCCTCTTACTCAAATTCTCTGAATATAAAACTGTAATTTGTTCAATTTTGCTCACCTAACAAATTATGTCTGTTTTTTTTATTTTATATACCCATGTCCTGGATTGCTACTTCCTTTTCAGTTGAAATATGTTAACTTATAGGCATAAGAAGGTTTTCTTGTTTTCTATTCCTTTCCCCTCAGGGTGATTCCAAGCCCTGAAGCCCTGCTTTATATTTTTTATGTCAATGGATTCTTCAAAGACATTGTAGTAATAATAATAACAACTAAATGACATTCTGTAATTGATGTCCTATATGGGTGTAACAGCATTGCAGAATATTCAGTGTTTAACTCGGTAATCAAACCAACATACATGCTGACATACGAGGGTGCATCTGAGCTACTCCACTTGAACCTTCAGGAGGAGGGTGAACTCAGAATTTTGTCTGAGGCTGCAAAACTGCGGTCAAATTGGCGACGTCAACAGGTACCTTGTAGTTTGTTCTTTTGACTCAGGCATATGAAATTTGTGTCTAGAGGTATTTGAGTTGTTTCTTTCTTTCTTCTGATAGAAGGAATTGATTCTGGCTTACGTCACATAATGTTCTATAGTTGGAGGATCACATGTTGTAGACATTTGAGGAAGGTTTTCCATTAACTTCATCAATGATTGGCAAGTTATTGCAGGTTCTAAAACTGCCTTAATAACCTTAGACCTGTCAATAAACTGTCCAGCAATATTTATATTATACGTCCAGAACCTTTTACCCATTCCATGGAACCTAATATTAAACTGCCGAATAACAGTCTCAGTAGTTTGTTCTGGAACTTGATCCATCTCACATAACTTAGAAGTTCATTACCCTCTAATAAATGATGCAAACGTGCTTTATTATTTCATATTTTGTTATTTAGCAAAGCAATCACCAATATTATCAATTGTATCATGGATGGATGTCATTTTTTTACCTGTTTGTTTGTAGAAAAGCTTCTTTGATCTAACATGCATATGAATGTCTATACTGTAATATTGATTCTTGTCAGAATCCTTTAGATAGGTTACCAGGATCAATTGATAATATTAGAATCAATTAGATTAATTCTTTATTTATGCTATTTTCTCTCTCCTATAGATTGAACAGCTCAGCTGTGATCTAAATATTCGGAATTCATCATACACCTTCTCAGTTTCTCTCTTCTAAAAAATTCTATACTATAATTGTTAATCCGAGTGCTTTAATAGATTTGGCTTAGTGAATCACTTGCATGTGAATTCATAAAGGCATATGGAATTAGTCTTACATATTAAACATTTCCTTTTTCTTCCCTTGTTCAGGGTGCAATTGAGACAGCAACATTAGATACTCGAATTAAAGTATCTAATCCTGAGGATCCAGAGCCATCACTAAAACTTTATGTGGAAAACCAGGCAGATCCTGCTATGCGATTAGTCTTTGAGATGATGATACTCTGTGGAGAAGCTATTGCCGCATTTGGATCTAAGAATGACATTCCCTTACCATACAGGGGACAGCCCCAATCAGATATAAATGTTTCTGAATTTTCCCATCTTCCAGAAGGACCCGTCAGGAGCTTCGCACTAGTCAGAGTAATGCGAGCTGCTGAAATTGATTTCAGGAAGCCTGCACGCCATGGTGTTTTGGGGATTCCTGGTTATGTTCAGTTTACATCTCCCATCCGTAGATATCTGGATCTTCTTGCACATTATCAGGTAAGTCATTTTCAATTTTATGAAACACAATTATAATAGCTTCTAGATACTTGCTAAGAAGTTTTAACTTTTAAGAAAGAACCAGGAAAATGAAACAAAATGAAATATCATGATACATGTTCCCTTCAATGAGGGACAGGATTCAGACACTGCATCACTGGCACCATTTGAATTTTCTCCCTGTGTTTGATAGAGTGAATACCCACATCATATTTAAAGATGCCTATTCACCAGTAGATGTGTTTTGTGATTATTGACTTCTCTTGGATGCTTTGTTCATGGCTGTTTCAAGGGACTAAATGTCGGTACACTCAAAGACTGGACAGCTTTGTTGCATTTCTTGTTATCTTTTTTTTTTCTTGTATTTTTCTTCTAATTTATTTGAGGATTTCTTTCATTTCCCTATACTGTACTTCGTTTCTTGCTTTTATTGGAGGATACTTGCTCTTTTTAGACACTATCTCTAATTAACGTCGGACTTGGCACCTTTTTTCTATCAACTGTCTCACTTCCTACACTATTACCTTGGTGCATGGATAATATGGTAGATAATCATTTTAATGGATATGAAATAGGCTTAGATACCATCTTATAATTTGGATTTGGGTCTAAATGAAGTCACAAAACCGGATTTTGTGTGACCTTTCTATACTCCGTAAGAGAGTTTTTCCATTCCGTAATCATAATTATTGTGCTTGAAACTTCTGATCACATTTGTTTTCCTTTTCTGAATTAGCTATATAGTGATACCCCATTTGGGCTAATCTTAAATGAATCACTTACAGCTGGGAAAATAAATGCCATTGTCATTTATATGCATGTAACGATGTAATAGAAGTATTACTTGGGTTTATTTATGCAAGACATATAGCCTAGGGACTTGATTTTAACAATTTTTGTTTTGTCTTCGTATGTCTGGATTAGCAAGTTACTGAAATATACTACTACATCTTGGTATTTTATTATTCTAACGAGATTTTGCGGTCTCTGTTTTGGTTGTCTGGAATGTTTGCTTTCTTAAGGTAAAGGCATTCCTTAGAGGCGAGCCTCCACCCTTTACAGCTGGTAAGCTTGAAGGGATTGCAGCTACTGTTAATGAGAATGTTAGAACAGTGAGGAAACTCTCAAGCAGCAGTCTTCGATACTGGATATTAGAATATTTACGAAGACAACCGAAAGAGAGACCCTATCGTGCATTGGTTCTTAGATTTTTGAAAGATCGAATTGCAGCTCTTTTATTGCTTGAGGTAAGCACTTGGCAGCTGATGGTTCCCGTTATGTAATGTGTGTGGCATTCCATGCCATTTGTTGGTTGTTCCAGTACGAAATCTCAACGTATTAAATATACAAGATGTGCTAACTGATTAAAATTAGCTGCATCTGTGATTAGTTAGGGAAGACTTTACTTTTTTGAGATGCGCGGTGAAATGTAATCTCAATGATGTATTAATCTGAGAGGAATGATGAATTAGTTTTTTTGGTTGCCTTCTCCAGATGTACTGGATAACAAAACAAGATAACTTATAGGGAGTCTACTTGTCAAAATTTACTATTTTTTTTTAATAATCACACTTAGATGGACTTGATATTTTTATTCAGTGAATACCTGAATATTAAATTTGACTATTCTTAGAATCGTTACTTTTTCCATCGCAAGATTTTCACTAGTTCTTTTTTTTTTTTTTTTTGTGTGTGAAAATTTTCTAGTTTGATAAAAATATTTTCATCGAAAAAGGGTTCTTCGAACTAGATGCCTCGCTATCCAAATAATACAGAAATTAAAAGTAGTTTGGTATTATAATAATATTTCTCAGCCTTCTTTTCAGATTCTTGTTTTACATGGCCATGTCGTAGATATTGCTTTTATCAGTGTCTTGCCCTATGTTTAATGAAGAGAAAAAGATGCAAATTGTGATATTCTATTGTTTTTTAATTCATAATGTGATTTTCGTTTGCAGGTTGGATTTCAAGCTTCTGCCTGGGTCCCTGTTGGATCACAGATAGGGGATGAAGTATTAGTCAAAGTGGAAGAAGCGCATCCACGTGATGATATTCTATTCCTGAAGGAGGTCGTAAAAGAGTGAGCTAGGATAGGATTTTGAATAGACTTCATTATTGCTCAACAATTTTTTCAGAAGGTTAGACATCTCTCTCCATCCCTCCGCATGGCTGGTAGGATGCAAGCTCCTTCGTTGTCAATTGCATGGAAAAAGAGATAATAATACTTCACTGGCAGACTTTCATTATTCGGAACATTGTCAAGGTTTTCAAATCTTGAAGTGTCATTTCTGGCAGATAAGTTGATGGAAGTTATAGCCAACATATCAAGCTTTCATCATGCCTCTAGTGTACAGTCCTTCAAACATTTTCTCTAACCATATCGCATGAAGTTATCAGGTTTTGTTCCCCACTTAAGCATGTAGCTCATTCTGTTGATTTGGTGTGGTAAACAAATGCAGCTTTTTGTTTTATTTTTCTTTATTCTCTTTTCTTTTCTTCAAAAGACTTGGTATATGCTTGGTTTTACTAGTTGTTAATATGAATTTACATATAGTACGTTACTCCCATACACTCATTACATCTATCATTGATAGTTAAAGGCTTCGTTTCCTCAGGTTTTGGGATTATTTGGAGATCTTTATTCCTACTAACCGTGTATGTAAATACTTAGATTAGAGTTTGTGAACTTGATTGTAGATCATTTTGGATAAAAAGCTAGATGGAAGTATCTTATCAAAGAATGAAAATTCGTAGCATAGGACAAATTTATGTTAATGGAACAGAACAAAGGTATAAACATATTTAGAACATATATTTATATTTTAAAGAAATTAATTTGTGTTTTTCAGTTTTTAAAAGTCCTACTACCATTAGATGCCCAGTGATTTTTGTGAGTGGAAGCACTAAATAATTCAATTTCATGATTATATATTGTAGGCAAATAATATTTTTTTAACGTGGACTCATTTTGTATGGGCCTATGTTTTTATTTGGACGTACTGTTATTGGCAAAAGGACTTTTCTTTTTGCACCCCATAAAAATTGATTTATTTAGAAGGACTAAAAAATAAAATAAAAAACATTTATAGGAATTAAAAAAATTATGGGAAATAAAATTTGAATTAACAGTTATAAGAACTAAATAAAATATCTTACAAGGATTAAAACCGAAATTAACGTATTTAGAAGTATAAAAAAAATAACATTTACAAAATACATTAAGCATTATAATTTATTCATAAATAAAGATAACCATCTTGAGAAAAAAGATAAATTTGATTAACCTTAATAAATTTACAATATTTACTTGTGACTCTATTTTTAGGAGATTCAAATATTCAGACAAATTATTAGCTTAAAAAACGGCATGAAGAGGTGACAACAAATTTAGCCAGATGAACCGATTAAATAATTTGTAAAAGTTTTTGTCATGCTATAAAAATAATGGTATGCAAAAATAGGACATGGACCTACATAAGAGCATGCTAGTGTTTAGAATTTGGGACAAGTGGACTATACAAATTTTTCACTCAACTTGTTGGGTTTGGCAAGTCCGTCGTTTTGACAATTTTAACTTCATTTCATATTTAAACTTTTCTTCTTTTGCTTAATTTTCTTTCATATTGGATTATGGTTGTCAGATATCTTAGACATACTTGTGCTGGTTGGGGTTGGCAAAATTTATAAAATGCCTAAACTAATCATTTTTAGCATTAACATAACTAGTATGTTTTTCTGTGCGATGTATGAATTGTTTTTAAATAATTTTTATATAACAGATTATATAATAAAATCAAGGTTCAAGTAGATTCCAAAAGTGTATGTTATAATCAAATTAAATTTAGAGAGCTTTTGAAATAATTTTAATTTGTTTATTTTGAATAACGAATTGAAAAAAATTAAAGTATAATTAAAATAATTTCTATTATAATATTGATGATTCATTATAATTAGTAATTAAAATTAGGTGATTAGATAATATAAATATGTTAAATATTTATATCATGATTTAAGCGATACTACATATCTTTAATCTATATACATCATCTAAAGTATACAAGATAAAATATAAGATTTCTCCCACAACTTCTTAGTCATTTTGGTTGAGATTAATTACTTGAAATATAATCTCTTTTTACTCTAAAGCATGATAGTTTGAAAACAAATAAATATGGTAAGTTAGTATTATAAAATACTCATCATACATTATTAACATCACATTCATATTTAAAAATAGTATATAGTTTAAATCATGCTTAAAATTATACAATAAATCAAGTGTTTAACTTTTATTCTATTGACTATATTCCATATCATAAAATATTGATAAATATTTGACTCTATTTTCAAAAGACACGTCCATTAAATTAAATTGAATTTAGATATTTGTATTTTTCGTACCATCTCCCCTAAGTTAATATATATTCAACATAAGTACATATTTGGTTACATATGCTCATAAATACAAGACTAATCCCTATGATTTACTAGATATAATTTTTTTTTTTCACACCACAGACTAAGTTATAGAAATATTTTTTAACACTCACCACTAGATATTTTTCTCTATGATAATTTAGTATTAGAGGAGTTAAAATATATAATACAGAAAGTTCATGTTTAGTAACTTTATAAACCTATTAGTTTATCTTCCACTAAGGATTATATAAAAATATCAATGAGTTGGTAATTTATGAACACTAAATATAACGTACATTTCCTTTTTATGCATATTCTTTAATAAAGTGATGTTTAATCCCTATAGAATATATAACAAGATTCTTAAATAGACTTATGACAAGACTATTATCACATGGAGTATGAATGTTATCTTCATAAATGTTTTAATCTTCTAATTAATATATTATCTATAAAATTCATGAACATAAGCTAGAAACAAAAATGTATTCAGCTTTTGTAATGAATAGTATTATTGTTCATTGTTTCTTACTCGTCTAAGAGACTAATTTTTCTCCATGACAACCTCCATTAATGCTTCAATAACCTTCTTAGGCTCTATATATGCTATAAAAGCATATTGAGCTTTATGGAATGATGATCTAGTCTTTATACATGACTCCTATTGGATGATTATTTATCATATGGGTCTTTCAACTAATAGCTTTTCTAGCCTTTCTTAGATCATGGTTTTGTAGACATCTCTTCTTTTTTCTTTGAAAATGTCTTCTCTTTTAATTTTATTATCCCTCCTTTCTTGCCTTTTAGGTATTAGAATATAAACTTTTCTCCTCCTATTAAGTGTCGTGAGCACTCGTTGTTTAGATATCACAATAAGTATCTTTTTTCAACTGTTAAGTATATCCATACGAGGAATTATGTTTGCATTGTATATTCATATTGACTTAGGTCTTTTAGTATTGGTTTTCATATGCTTAAACACCCCCTTTTTGGTTCACTACTAGGTAATACATTATGATTACGTGTGATTTTAACTATCAGGTGTTTTCCAGTATTAGTCTAGTTCGTTCTTGTCATGAGATTTTCTTGATGTCCTTATTAAAAGATTAAGTACATTATTCTTAGACTCCTTTTGGAATATGACCTTTCTTAGTGTCTATTTTTTGTCAATAAATTGTCTATTGATTGATTAGGATCTAGTGAGGGTAGACTTTTCTCTAAACTTTCAATTTTTAAAAGCTTTTTTCTTTTTCTTGTTTTCAGAATTTATATTTGGACTAAGACCTAGTTTCAAATTTTATTTATTTTTTGTCCAATTTTTCTTTCAAAATATTAACTTTTTTTATCACAACCTTTAACTTCTTTTTGGAATTTTTATATGGTTTCAAAAGTAGAGAAGTAAAATAAGTTCATTATATGCTTATATGACGTAATATATATTAGTAAAATCTACCTTTTCATTTGAATCGCCAGAAGACACTTCAGTGTTTATCACTAGACAAAGTTGCGTTTCTTTCTTCTCATCTTCTTATAACTCAAATAAATCAAGATCTTCTCATGTTGACATAAAATTATTCTATTGTCCTTCTTAGAATATCTCTTTTGTTAATATTTCTCTCTTTTAGAAATTTTGGCCTAAAGTAGGTAGGTTTCTTGCATTTGTACCATACTATTTATTATAATTCCTCTTTTATTTTTTATTCTTGGATTGATATTGCCACCTTTTCTTTTCTCTAAATCTTCCTTTCCTTTTTTTCACATGTTGTGGATTTTTTTGGCTATAAAAGAGAGATCATCTTCATCATCTGATTTTTCATCTAATGGTTCTTCTACTTTGCAATTTTTAGTAAGATCTAGTCTTTTTCATCAATGTATAGTTAGATAGTATTATTTCATTTTTTAGTTGATCATCTCATTGAATCTTTAAGTCACCAACTTGAAGAATTCTGACAAGTTCTAATGTAGAACTTTCCAAATTCTTGAAAGTTCGTAGTGTAGAGTCACCTATAATGTCCATTGTTTAGACAAATTTCTCAAAATTTTGTCAACATAATTAGAATTTTCAAAATATTTATCAAGATAACATAAGTCATTTAATATAATTAGTTAGATGAACATATTTTGTATGTCTTCATTTTTTTCCATATTAAATAACTCATCTTGGATAACTAAAAGACTAAGTTTATTTTGTTTTACTTTGATGGAACCCTTATTCATTTTCACTTGACCTTATACATTGAGAGAGAGAAAAAATTAGACACTTAATGGAAACAACATAACCCATATTGATTAGCGTGCATTGGGTGCTATTCTCATAGAATGTTACCTTATCAATAGAATATCATTTTCTTCTTTGGAAATAAAGTTCCTTATTCCATTTTATTTTCAAACAAACATCTCTCTTTCATTACTGTTCAACATGTTTGATTGGGTATGTTTTATTGGTAACATGTCTCTAGTTCTTGGCAAACACTTAACAAGAGTCATCAAATGTGTACTCCTATGATATTCTCATATTAAAAAAATATATAAATCTTATTCTTTTGACAATAAAAAAGTATCACATGTCTTCAACTCACCATCAATGTACATATAGGGCAATATTTCTTTTCTTTTATAATTAACCATCTTGTTGAAGCTCTAAATCATGGACTTTGAGTTTTCT